ATGCCATATGTAGTGAAAATGCTGTCGCTCAGAAGGAAGAGCTCTTCTTTGCTTCAGGAGGCCCGTGCATTGCTCTTGAGCTTTCGGGCCATTCGGCCTTTCTTCCAAGAGGCAGGATCGATAGAGGGACTTGTCAGAAATGTGGCATCACTGGCTTGCCTTGGACATAGTTTCATGCCTGGTTCAGCCCCAGTTACAAAAGAACAGAATAGACCCTTGGGGAGTTATTGTCCTCTCTGTTGCATGAATCAGTCCCTGAGCTCTGAATGAGCCGTTCTGAGTTGCCATCCTTGTGGTGTATACCCACACGCATGAGTATATGTGGCTGGTTTGTGGCCAAATAAAGGCATTGGTAGGCAACTTGTAAATTCGTCTCCGCCTCTGCTGCCTACAGCCATCTGATGAGAAACATAATGGCTAAGGGATCCTTAGAATACGGCACCTAGCTGAAAGGCAGGGAGAATTAAATATTCTTAAATTGTTACCCACAGATGTCTTCTAGCTAATCTGGAGTTGGCCCAAGTGGTTTACTCATAAGTCTTTCTCTAAGGCGTTAGCAGAGGTTCCCTTAGGAACATATTTCTCCATAATTCACTTTTCCTTTCCAGGTTGTTGGCCAGAAAATTGAAATCCAAAAGCTGGCAGCACGGAGATGAAGTCGAAAGATCATTACAATTTTTTTTTATTTTTTTTTTTTTTTAGTGTTAAAACATTGATTTCTGGTGTAGAATGATTTGCAGAAAATTACTTATCTATCCAGCAGCCAATTTTCTTTCTTTCACATCAAATTTCTGGACTGTTGAACTGTTGGTAAAAGTGAAATAAGAAATGTTCAAACTGCATTTTAGAAAAGTGAGCTACAGTTGTTTCATTAAAATTTCGAAAGGGATTTCCAAAAAGAAGTAAATTGCATCCTGGGGAGAGAAGGGACATGGGCAACATTTTCCTGTTCTTTCAGCACCAGAATTGATGTCAAATGCTAGAGTCCAGGTAACCCAACAGCCTATCCAAAATACACTTCCTTGTCAACTCTTTACTTCATGGAAAATTATCCAGAAGTTGCTTCCCACCCCCATCAGAGAAACCTTATTTTCTCTACTTTGTATTTTAATGATTTTTGCATCCAACAATCATAAAACTGTAATCAGCAGACAGAAATTTTATAATATTTGTCCAAAACTACTGTCTTCTGATGTTTATAGGGATGATTTTTTCTTGTAATTTGTTAGATTTACCATAGTTGTGCTTTTTTAGGCCAAAATTTGCCAGTTGTTATCTTCCTCCCACGAGTTCTACGCAGACTAGAGCCTGATCTGTCCGCCTGCTCATTATCAGGCTTTTTCCCTCCTTTCTTTCACCCTCCAGCCTCCCATAAGCAGTAGTCACCTTTTGCTTGTTTGCATCCCTCTGCCCACTCTTTTGGATGTGTTCTTTGTCATTTTAAGGAGATTGGTGGAATAAGAACTCTGTGTAGAAAAGCATTTTAAGTTCACCTAGGCACCTTAGCAGAGGTAGAGAATGTGTTTATTAGGAAACCAAGGTGCCTAAACAGAGAAGATGACTTCAGTGAGAAATGTTCCTGTTAGGAGGTAAGTATAGTTTTGGATCTTTTTTGTTTGTTTTACTTTACTTTAAATGTCAAAGGTGGTCTTGCTGTCTGCCCTACTAACTGCTGGTTTAGGTTGAGTGGGACCTTCCTGACTTCTGAGGCCGCAGTGCTTACGGGCTGTGGCCTTGCGATTGTGATTCGTGTTGGATGGTGATGCGCTTCAAAGCCTTCTGCTCAGGGCAGGCTGCGGTTTTGCTGTTATCTTGGAAGTGAATTCTTCTCAAACTACTGCTGCTTGGCTTCATGCCATCGTACGGCTGTCTTAACTTGTTTTCTTAGCACATTGGAGGTTTTCAAGGCTACTTCCAATTATGATCTCTGTGATTCCCCAAGACATGCTGTGGAAGAAAGACTATTCAAGACATGATTTAGCAACACAGGTTGACTTCGTGTTGTGGTTGTTTTTGTTGGGTTTTTTTGATTAATTTCAGAATCTCAAAGCCCAAATGTTCTGCTCTAAAAGGAAAAGGTGTCATTTTTTTCCAGCTTAGAAATCAAGAAATTTGCATTCACTCGATTCAGTTTGATGTCTTACTGTATTTTGGTTTGCTGTGCTTTTTCACTTGATTAGGCTTGTAGTTTAGAGCTCTGTATATTCCTACGCTGACAGCATGTTCTGAGTTGCTTTATTCCTCATTTGCTTTATAAGGTACTGAAGGATGTATAAAGAATAAGCTGTAATAAATTGAAAGCTTTACTGTTAATAGGAGGAGACCTTGATCAATGTGATGATCACTTGCTAGCGTAACTACAGATTGATTTGTCACAGCTTGTTTACTTGGAGGCAGAAATGTTAGCTTTGTTAACTTATATTTCTGGAGAATGAAAAAGTCCAGAGTTTCAAAAAGATGAGAGAGAAGAATGAAGTTGAGTGGTGGCTTGGCTGGGTTTGTTTGGTTTGTTTTTTTGTTTTTCCAAATGAGATAAGAGTAGTTCACTAATGGAAATACACATGGATGCAGAAACAAGATGCATCCTCATGTTGGTGAAAGAAGAAAAGTAGCTATGTAGGCTTTTTTTTTCCCTTAGGAGATTGCTTAAGGATTTTAAAATCTGTGTTTTTAGTAATTTTCTGTAGTGTGTTTCATTTTATATTTTAAAGCTTTCCTTTTATCTGCTGGTATACGTGTATTCTCAAATGACGAGCTGTCACACTCAATTGTTATGAAGTTAAATTATTAGAGAATCAACATGATGGGATAAATGTGTGTTTAGGATATTCAAAACTGAAATACTTAAAGGCTTTAGGAATTGCATTACAGTGCTCTTAGACAATGTTTTCTATACTTGGAATAGTTACCATGATTAAAGTCTAGAGTTAATAACTTCAAAGATTGTGTGGTATCTTTAAAGAAATTTTGATTATTTAAAAACAACCAAAACACAAAAAACCGGCTGCTTTCCAGGCTGCTTTTCTTGCCATTTGAAATGTCTACTTTTTTTCCCCACCCCTCACCCTTACAGCTGGATATGAGTTAGATTTACTGATCGAAAGGATGCTACTGTCATTGAATAGACTTACGTGGCGATAGTATCAATATTAATGTGAAGTGTTCTTAACAATATGATGGACGTAATTCTCATACCATGATGTGTGTTACCATGAAATCTTGAGTGCCTCCTAGGAGCACATCAGGAAATTCGATTTACGTTTGGGCTATTGTTGAACCGTCTTCTTCTCTTCAATAGATAGGTCTCCGTGTTGAAGTATTTTGCTTTGGCATTAAAAGCTATATGCATATAAGTCTGTTAAAGAAACCAGACCAAACCAGTGTGCTTTTCACTTAAGTGAAAGGTGGTTTGTGCTGGCCTTGAATTCAGGAGAAGGGGGCCTCAATCTAATCTGGAGGGTTGTTCTAAGAAGAATCTGGCTTCTGCATAATGAACTTGATCTTCATTGTAGAAAGCTGACAATGTGTGAAGCTGTTGGTCTTTCTTCATCCCGAAGCTGTAATTAATTGCCAGATAACAAGAGTGCATTCCGGGTAATAAGAGAGTTGAAGATAGAGATTGAGTCTTAGAGCTTCATTCTATATGTGGAAAAGAAAAATATGTCTGATCTGGCAAGCCTTTGTGTTTGGGTCTGCAGCACGGCTCTGAAGTCTAGCAGTGTTGGAGATAAAGATCGTAGTACGTGTATATCCCAAAATACCCAGTTTAAGGAGGTGAAACTTGCAGTTGAAACTCTTTGCTAAACTTTCTCTTAAAATGTCAGTTTTACTGAGGTATGAACAAGTACTCGGTTAAATAACTGGATCTTTTGCAAGTATTTGTGTATTTGGGAGTGTGGTTACAGATGAAGTTGCTCTTTGTTATTTTATGGTCACCAGCTGTGAAAAATTAAAGCTACCATGGAGAATCCTCCGATTTTTTTTTATTTTTTTTTTTTTATATCTCCGTTTTGCTAGGTTATACGCAGTGCCATGAAAAAACTTACAAATTGTTCTTTGAATTCATAACTTTGACTTTGGACATAACTCATTGCTTCCCAAATTCTCAGAGGAATTTAGAGTAATTTTCAGGAGTTCTTGAAAAAGTGTCCTTTTCAGGACAAGAAATTTGTATATTTTGCATTAGCTTTTAGAGAGGCTATATATGGTTCTGAAATATAAATCAGTATGGAAAATACCACCACTCCCAAAAAATGCAACAGCTAGGTAGTGTTGGTAACTTTTAAAAAATTAGAAGCACCATTCAAAAATCTGCAGCAGTTATAAGAAACAAAGAGAAGTCGTTCTTTAGGGCTTTTCTGTGACTTTCAGGTAATCTTCTAGGTGTTCTCTTTGGAAGATAGTGGAAGTACAAATGGCAGTGGGTGGTAGCAATGCCAGTCTTTCATTAACATTGTTGTAAACATGCTGCAGGTGCTTGTGTAACGTGATTGTGTGCCATTTGAGTTGGTGAGTGAGCTTTCAGGGGTGGGAATGAAGCTTGTTCATGTAAGAAGGCTTGGCATATTTTCAAAACTGTAAGTTCATGTTGTGTGGTCAGCAAGGTGTTCTGTGAGCAGGAGAATTTATAGAGTCTGGTGTTTAAAAAAATACATTTTTTTTTTCCTTACATGAAGTGCCTTAAGGTTTATGGTACCTTTTAAAAGTAGGTAACGTGTTTAGAGCTGAAGGATAGTACAGAACTGTGTGTTCTTGAAAAGAAAAGCTGTGTGTCTGGCAGCAAATAGTGTATTTTACATTACAGCATGAGGAAGGCAGTTTAATAGATCTTTCTAGGATTTACTCTGTGTTTAAAAGAGGGTTTGAATCCAGCTTTTCTGTCTTAGCCTTCACATCGTGGGGATGGAGGAGTGTGTGTTGTTTTTGTTATTATTATTAAATATCCAGAACCAAAAATCAAACCAAAAAACTAGAAGTAGTGAAGAGAATACAGTGCATTCATTGACATATGTAGGCTTTAAAATCTGAGCAGAAAAATAATAGATTGTTTTTCCTCTGTGCTGTGGACTGCCCCTCTAGCTGCTAAATTACCGTTCTGACTGGTAAGGTAGCCCAGGGGTGCTAATCTGTTCAGTGTGTTAGTATCTAGATACAGTACATGAAACTTGCAGTAGCTACCCTGCACACTTTGAATGAGCCTTAGCTATCCACTGTGATTATTACTTTCCCATATATCATAAAATAAACTATAGGGTAAGGTAGTATCTATTTCTGTAGTATACACGTGGTTTGTAATTGCTAGAATGATGTCAGTAATTTTAAGTAAGCTCTGAACTTCTGTGGGCAGGGACTATGAAGTAGGCTAGTAAATAAAAAAAATATTGTCAGTCCTACTTCATTAAATGGATTACTTTGGTAAATTAATATTGATTATTTCAGAGTCTACACACTTAAACAATTCTACTGTTTATGAAGCAAAACAATAATCATTTAAACTCACTTGACAAATCTGGTGTGATTAGTTTCTTACGCTGTTCCAGAGCAATACTTTCTGGTTAAGGTATGGATTACATACCAGGAAAGGTATGTGGTGTACACATCTACTTAAGAAAAAAGAAGAAAAAAAAGAGAGAAAGAAAAAGCTTTATTGCACAATTTGTAAATGTAAGAAATACTTTTTGGGCATGGGAAGTGTACAGTTTGGTTTTTAAACTCCTGGAAGCAGTACAGAAGCGCATTTTAGGAAGCAAGAGTTTAAAGATGATTCCTAATTGTTCTGCACCGCACATACACGTAGTAAAACAGTCTTGACCCTGGAGAGCTTACTAAAATATGCAGAAATTGGAGGAATTTTTACTAGGCAAGTTCAGAAGCGGCGTTAAAACTGCTGATAATAAGCCAGCTGCAGTTTCAAACTGGGCAATTGCCCTGCATTGCTGGAAAGGAGACTCCAGTTCCGTATGTGTCTGCATCTGTAAACTCCTCCACCTCCAGAAAGAAAATGCAGTATCCTCTACCTGCCACTTGCGGTTTGATTTTTCAAAAGAAGGCTCTGGCAACAGCACCGTATCCCGATGTTTCCTTCCCGACCATTTTTTCTCTTGGTGTGGTTTTCTTCCATCAGAGGAGGCTTTGTGGTGAAGGACCACT